TAATAGCCTCAACTAGAATGACAGAGGAGTTTTAATTTTATGCTGTTCAGGAGGCCAGCATGAAGTGCCACTGAGTTTCATACAGCAGTTAACATTCAGAGACAAATAGTCTCTGAGAAATAGTGTTTTTTTGGCCAAGTTTCATAATTCTTTGGTGGTCCTAGCTGTCAGTATTGTGTCATTGACTTTACTTACGGTGCTTGGTAGGCATCTCCCCTGGAAAAGAGATCCTTAAATCAACAAGTCACTCAGGGTACATATTTTACATTTAAAAGATTCAGCAAGTTGCTGAATAGCAGGGAATGAGTCCTACTCTAGGAGTGCTGTCAAAGCCAGACTTTATTGCCAGGTGTAAAGGCCATCTTTGAATCTGGATGAATAACTGGTTCAGATGCTCCTCTCTAGGCAGGGGTCAGTACTTTGTGAAAGTAACTCCTCTGGAAAGCTGGCTGACACCATCCTCAGTGAGCATGAGATGACTCCAGAACTCCCTGCTCCCCACTCCATCTGCACATCCCCCTCTGCATCTCGTCACTGGAGCAAAGCTCCTAGCCTAGGTGCATATCTCTGTCTCTTTTCATCGATAACTCCTTTTGTTACACAGTGCCAAACACAAACCAGCTCCATTTGCAGGGTACTCCTGGGCTGCTTCACCCAACCCACCATCTTGTAGGAAGGAGGTTGTTGCTAGTGCTCTGCCTGCAATGCCAGCCTTTTATTTTCTTCTTTATTAGGTCTCTCTACCACTATACTTTTCTATGAAAAAATAAACAAAAAAAGAGTTCTGTCAGCTGCACCTTTCTGTTGTCAGTTGTTGCAGGCCAAGCTCAGGCCTTCTGCTGCACTCATACAAAGCCCAGTATTATAAACCACCACATAACCCCCATACAGTCCAGCTGTGCAGCCCCAGCAGTGCCACAGCAGACACAACAAGCACTGGTTGCTCAGCAATGCCCTTAGCTCCTGCTGGCTGTTGTTTCAGCTATCAGGGATGCCCGGTTTCGTGCAGACATATTTTGTATTTCACATCTAACCAAAATAAAAATATAGATTGAATAAAAAGTAAATAACCTGCATTAGTCTATGATTCAGAAGCTGCATAGCAAAAGAGACCATTGGATCAAAGAGAAGCAAAGATGTCCTAGGGTATTTTGGAGATGGTTAGAAGAGCTACCCCTGGAACAAGAGCCTGTTGAAGAAGGATGCATGTTCATGTAATTACACTATTAAGAACTGATGCAGAAAAAAAACATTCAGTGACATGTTACCAAAAATTTCTGTCACCTCTCCTGTGATTCAACAGTCCCGTGAGTACCAGTTCCATCCTACCACCACCCCCCAATTCAGATTACAATACAGAAATTAACATGACTGCACTTATAAGTATTTTGTGAGACATTTTTATAGAAGAGATGAGCAGTTCTATTGTTCTTAAATTAGAAGCATAAAATTTGGGAGTTTGGGAATGTGGTAATAAATCCTTCTGAACTGTCCTACCAACATATTTTGGCAAGTTTTTTTAGGTAATTGCCACTGTGGGTTCAAACAGATTTAATGTTGGCTGCTTTTTCCTTTTTCACAGGTTCTGTCCCTCTCTGAATAAATCATTTGGGAAAACTTGCCACCTTTTATGACCTTTAAATGTGATGCCAAGGCTATCCCATCCTGGACACAAATACAGCCACCAGCAATTCATATAACAAACATCAGCTCTAGCCAACACCACTTTGCACACACTTGACTGCAGTGTGAGGCTCAGGGTTGTGTTTTGCGCCAAGTGTTCTCAATCACAGCTTCTATTACTGAACAGATCTTAATGGAGAAATGGCATGATTAGGAATTCTTCTCCCTGTGTAGGTACCCTGTTGGTAGTACAAGTCACCTGGAGGACTTGGCCATGCAGAAATGAATATTTGGGAAGCACTCTGAAACTTGTGAGGCTTATTTCTCCTTTGTAGAGTCACAAAACTGAATTTTAAAATTTGGTGGACATCTGGGTCTTTTCTGCAGTTGATAACTGCATTGCACAAGCGACATGTAAGGTCCTCTTGCACCCTTCCAGCATATAACACATTTTGCAAAAAAATTAATCCCACCTCAATCCCACTCCAGCCTGGTTTGACTCAATGTCAGTGTTATGATTGGGTGGCTTGCGACCACTGGAGGGCTGGAGGGGATTCAGGGTGGCACAAAGGCAGTGTGGTGATCGCTGCTTGACAGTCTGCTTAAGAAATGCGCAGGCCTGCAGCTTTCTCTTGGCACCTCTGTCTCATCACCTGGCTCTGGTTACTTTCTCATTGCAGTTTTTATTACATAATTCCTTTGGGTTAAAAACATTTGGTTTCTGCTTTGTGCTGGGCTTTCCACTTACCTCTGTACCTATAAAATCAGGGTGACAAGAGGAGAAGGTGATGGAACACTTGGCTGTGATAAGGTAGCACAGCTGGCTCCATGGGACCATATGTGGAAATGCTCTTACTGCTGTAGGGTGCTCTCAGACAGTCGACTCAAGAGCGTGGGGAGGGAGCAAGGGGCTCCAAGACAGTATTTTGTTATTTCTATGACCTCCAAGGGTTATTTCTTTTCTATTCTTTACTCCTTGTGCTCATCTCTATCTTTCCAAATCATCCATCTGGCTTCTGGCCTTTAGTTCTACTCCATCTAGCATTAACATGTGTGTTTTTCTTTGTGTTTGGCATCAGAAATTGTCTCCACAGAGGTTTAAGGATGTGTGTGGGCATTTGGAGGTTTTGCAGGTCTTAGCCCCTAATCCTTCAAGGGCACTGCCCATATGGACACTGGAGGTCCATGAGGAGCCCATGAGTTGCTGCTGTCTTTGCCTGAGGAAGGCCTTCCCTTTGCTGATTGCAGAGGATATTTTGATTTTTGATAGATTATACCACATACATGAATAATATAATAATAATCATCATCATGAACTGTAACATGAGAGTAAAGCTGAGCTTGATTTGTATGTTAAAGACATGCCTGTAAGGTCTGAATGCTAAAAAATACACTACTGTAGTAAATCACCTGCCCCTTGATGTCTGACGACCCTTAGGATGCTTCCTGTATGCAAGTGTCTCTGTCTTTGCATTTGCTCTTTTATGTTGTTTCTAATGTGGCATTCTGTTTTCCTGCTGTTAAGGATCCTGCCAGTATAAGGAATGCTTCTTCTGGTTTCTGCCTTGACTTGGGGCAAGTTGCAACCTCTTCATCTCCTCTCCCTGCAGACAGGGCTGCCTATAAGACCCCATGCCTACGTGAGGTCCTACAGATTTTACCCAAATTGAGTTTTCCTCCCTTTGCTTCACTGCACTTCACTCACCCACATCAAACAGCTCTGAAATTGTTGCTTTGTTGGATTGCAATCCTGCTGCCTACAAAGGAAGAAGAGGATATACAGAATTAGGTCCTAAGAATTTGCAACATACTTTGAAGGAGAAAGATTATATTAAACAATCTGTTTAATATAAGAAACACATAAACAATCTCTGTGTGTGACACCAACAAGGAGCAGACGACTGAAAATCTGGTAGGATTTCAGTGGGGAATGCAGCCTAAAAATCAATGACACGGTATGTCCGGAAGGTGGATCTAGAAATAGCAAGTGTAGTAACTGTTGAGAGGTATCACGTTCCTGGGGGTCACACGCAGTGAGCACTCCAGGCATGATCAGCTACCCCTCTGGGCACAAGGGTCCTGCTGCTTCCCAGCACTGAGTCAGCTGCTGCGCCCACACTGCACAGGGATCGCCAGGGATGTGCTTGCCTGGGAGAGGCTGGGAAAGTGATGAGTGGGGTGAGAGACTGCTTGTGCCAAATTAACTTTATTTTCTTAGATGGCATTCCTGTTTTGATAGGAAGGTAACCAGAGTAGGCTCTGAAGGTAATTGTGATCTCAACACCACCCATTGGCCAAAGTACTCCACAGAGCATGAGGCAAGCAAAGTGAAGGGCATGGAAAAACATCTGCTCAGGGAATCTCCTTGGGCTCTTCTTGCCCCCTTCCAGTCTAGGGTCCTCTGAGAGGGATATATTTTGCTAAAACAAAAGAGACCATTACGGTTCTTGTGGCCATTGGATTCGGGCTATAAAACGCTGCTTGCAACCATCTGACTTAAATCACCAGTGGCAGTTTGCAAGTGAGACTGATGTATTTTGCTTTCCTGGTTATTGCTCCTTTCCCATGTCCAATGACTGATGTAATATATGCACACGTTCAGCGGTGGAAACACTGGCATAGGCAAGTGGATCGGGCTGAGGCTCCTAAGGTCTTCAATACCACCATTTACCCCAGCTGAGAAATACCAAGAAATACCATGGACTAGTTGTAGCAAGACTTCTTGTTTTGGGTTCTGAAGCACACATTCTTGCTGCTGTCAATTCCTGCACTATTTATTTTGAAGACATAACTCCTGGATCCATGTAACTAGGTACAAATCACAGCCCTCTCTTACTTGCCACCCCTCACCCCTAAAACTTTCTAGTCTTCTTACTGAGGGCGAAAAGTCTGAGGCAAAAAGCCAAGTGGGAATTCAAAATGGGCTGGCATTTTGGAATAGCCTCCCTTCCCGTGATTTTCAACCCCTTCGTTTCACTTTTTTCCGACACTTGAAGCTGCCACCCAGGTTAACTGGGGAGGGTGGCGCGGAGCAGCGGTGCGGACTCCGGAGGCACAGCGCTGAAAAACACGGGGCCGCGGCCCGATTCCCCTTTCGAAGGGGGAGCCTTTCCACGTCTCCGCTTTCATACCGGGCCAGCCCTCGCTCGGTCGGCCCGCGGCGCTGCTCATGTTTTCCACTGGGGGGGAGGACGAGAGAGGGAAGACCGGGTCGGAGGAGGAGGAGGAGGGAGGGGCAAGTTGGTTGAATTTGCGAGGGGCGAGAGCCGGCGGCAGCGGCGCGCCGCCTCCTTCCACTGGCTGGGGGAGCTGCCAATCTGTGTTGTAATCCTGCAGGAATTTCTGCGGGGTTTAACTGGGAGCCGCGGCGCCGCCGCCGCGCACTCGGGGCGGAGGGAGGGCGGCGGAGCCGGCAGCGTGCAGCCTGCAGCCCGGGCGCCCCAGCGCCGCGCAGCACCGGGCCCGCGGCAGCGGAGCGCGGGGACCAGCGGAAGGAGCGCGGCGAGCCGGACCCGGGGCGCCGCCGGCTCTGCCCCGCGCCCCTCGGGCGCTGCCGAGCGCCGCCCGGTTTCTCCTTTGTGCCCGGCCCCCGGCGGCCGCCGCGCCGGCTCCGCGGGAATAATGCGGGGCGTGTGGCTGGCGCTCACCGTCAGCTTCGTGGCCTGCGCCTCCGGGCAGCCGGTGAGTGCCGGGGCGGAGGGGAGGGGGGCGGCGGCAGCCCCGCGGGACGGGACGGGACAGGACGGGACGGGGGCGGCCGCCTCGGGTCCGTCAGCCGAGCCCGGGGCGCGCAGTCCCGGCCCTGCCCCGTGGCATCGCCGCCCGCCGGGGCGCCGGGCTGGCTCGGCGGGGCATCTGTTGATCGCTGAGCGCTCTGCAAACAGCAGGCACCATTTCCCCCGCCCAAGACAAAAAGGAAAGAGACGCTTTCCCCCCCTCAAAAAAAAAAAAAAAATCCCACGAAGGCAGGCGGAGCACCCTGCCAGAGCCGCCCTCCACCGAGCCTCAGCCGAAGTTTGCCGCGACGACCCAGCCGCCTGCCGGCCCCGGAGACCCCGCGGTGCGTCTTTCCCTCCTCCCTGGCGTAGGGGGAGCTGCCCGGCGGCCGTGGGGCGCCCGAGGGGCGGCGATGCGGGATTGGATCCCGGACCGGGCTTTGTAGCTGTCCCGGACCAGCGCCGGGAGCCGCCGGGCCGCTCCGTGTCCGAGCGGCCGCCCGAAGACAACGCTGCCTCCTCCCGGTTCCACGGGAGGTGAGGCGTGAGCCTTTCCTTTGCAAAATCCACCCTCCGCGGCCGCTTGCTAAAAAGAGAAAAAAAATGCAGTAACTCCGCTTGGCTTCGCGGCTCAGGACTCTCCAAAACCCTGGGATACGCCGCGCTGCTGCTCCTCTCTGTGCGCGGGTGCGCAGCGCTGAGCGCCCCCCGGCCAGCCCCGGGCCCGGCTCCGCGGAGCCCGAGCCCGCCCGCCGCTGTCCCGGCCGGCCCTTCCCCACGGGATTGCCGCGAGCTGCTCGGGATAATGCCGCTATTTACACTTTTTCCGCGCCACAAGTGTATTCGCTAACCGGGCCCTCTGCTTAATGCAATTAGCTCGGTTGCCGGGATTTGTACCTCTGGGAAAGCCTCGCTCCAGCGAACGCTCCCACCCCTTCGCGGCACGGAGCTGGCGAGGGCCGGCCAGAGAGTTTTGTTCTTTTCCATCTGTGGATCTGAGACTGTCTTGAGGGAAGGGAGCATGCAAATGACACTGTTGCAGTGTTTGGGCAAATATTAGGAAATGATAAATTGCGGTTTCAATATGAAATTAAAAAACCATGACAATTTAATCCAATTAAAATGAGCCGCTTCACTGAACTAAATAATGTCACTAGCTTGGGTTAACTTTTGAAGTTCTCTAGCTATTGTATAAATTAGCCAAGTCACAGCCTTTGTGAAATCTGGCTCATCATTAGGGATTTCTAAGGATACAATTGTAAAACACTTTTCTTAGGGACTAATTAAATATGGTTGGGGAGAACACCGGCTACTGTTTCTGCTAAGTATAACTGCGCTGCAGAAACACCCTTGGCTAATGAGGTACAATATACTTTAATTTTATAGAAATGCTGTTATTACAAAGTTCTCTGATGGTGGAGTAGCTATTAAACTGCCACAGTAATTAGTAAAGGATTAAGTTTGATGGGTTTTTGCCTTAGGATGAACACACTGCGGCGGAGTGAGGCGGGTTGTTGGGGCATATTGGGTCAGCGCGGTTTGGGGGGCAGTGGGGAGAGCAAGGCGGAGGAAGCCTGCCTGGCTCTGCTGCAGCGCCCTTGTTGCTGCCAAAAGGTTGTGGAGGGACTGACTGGAAAAGTAAAAGGAGGTTGGTCTTTTTCCTTTTCTTTCACCCCCCTCCTTTTTCCTTTAACTGTGCCTGGCAGCAGCTTCATGGTCCCTTAAGGTAGGATTTTGTAGACTGGTCTTTGGGAAAAGGGAGATGCTAAATCTGTCCTTTTTGCAGAAGGCTATCCTGATCATAAGAGGAATTTTATATGGATGCTTAAGAAACCCCCTACCAGTTCACCAGAGCAATGTCAAGTGGATTTGGCTCTAAATTTCTTCTTTGTTTGATTCTATTATTTAGTATTATTATCTAGGCAAAGCCTTATGGTTAAAATCTCTCTCATTTCTGATGAAGTAAATTATCCGTGAGTTTTTTGAGTGGAGGAGAGGAAAGCAGCAGCAGGTTTTGTTTCCTAAAGCAGGGAGTTCCCTGTGTTTGTTCCATGTAACCAACAAACATTTTTATTAGGGTGGGCCAAGTAGGTGTCAGAGCCGTGTTAAAAATGTACTGGAAGTGCGACCTGCCGCTGAACCGGGGAGCAGTTTACCCATGCTGGGTGCGGGCTTTGTGTGCCCTGACATGGGCTGTCGCACCGCAGATGTGCTCTGCTGCACCGTGCCAGCTCCCCTGGGGGAGCAGCCCTTTGAGGACATGGTTGTGATGAAGAGGGTGAGAGGGACTCTGACCTGTTTGTGCCAGCCTGCACATGGTGGCAAGTGTTGCCCGCACCAAAGCTGGTGGATTTCAGCCCGGGCTTGAGGAGTACTTTGCTGCCATCAATGCAGTGTGTGGTGACACGTCAGATTAGAGTGGAGTCTGGTAACCACGTGGGCCTGGAAGGACATGGGAGATTCACCCAGAGTTGGCTGAATGGCAAAAAAATCTACTTTTTAGCTACTTTGAAAGTTTCTTTGCTTGCTTATAGGAGAGAAAAAGATGGTGACATTAAACTGCTGGAAAGAAAAGGAAAACCGTGAATGAGAGGCCTGGTGTGCCTTTTAAAAGGTTGGGTCCAGTCCTGATATGTTGGGAGTCAGCTTTTGCTGATTTTAATAGCACCAGAGGGCACTGCCAAGTATCCAGCTGTAGTTGTCAGCTCCCATTCAGAAGAGGCTGATAAACCTTTCCGTTTTGTTCTAGTTCGCAGCAGTGGGACAAATGGTTTTCCAGAGCTTGTGTGACAGTCTGATCCTCTCTGCATGCCCAGCTGCACGTTGAGAAACTTTGCTGGCTAGCAAGTTGTGCTGCCTACTGCAGCATTATGATGCTGCTCTCCTCATAGAAGGTTAATCATACCTCTCCTTGGGAGGCTTCTAGGGTCTGGAGACTGCTTCACATTAGTGTTGCATGAGTGTGGGGTTGGTTTTTGGGCTTTCAGTGAAACAGAGTGCTGGGTCGTCAACTGATTGGTCTTTCTTCTGTAAGCATCTGAGCACTGAGTTGTTGGCATAAATAATAGTTATTGAAGGATGATCCAAGTTAATGTTTTTCAGAAGTATTTAGTATTTTAGAATGTGATGCTGTAATTTTCCTGCATTTGTTTCCAATGGTTGCTTTGGTATTGGAATTTGGAGAATCGATAGTGTGTTGGAGAGGAGGAATGTTGGTTTTTTTTTGAAAAAGGCAGTTAGACTTTGGAGATAGTAATTAGAGGAGAAGAAGGGCTGAAGAGATAAGGTGGCATTTTATATTTATATGCTATGTGTGTCTCTCCTAAGTGTGCTAAATTTGCATTGTCAAATAAGTTCCAAAGAAAGGGGGAAACCTTTTCAGTCTTGATTTATTTCCACCCTTCCTCAATTCACGTAAGCTTTCTCTTTCACTGTAGAATTAATAAATACTTGTCCATTGCTTTTTGTGACTTGGCAGCACCTGGAATCAGGCAGCAGCATCTGCCACGGCTGCTTCTTTTGCTGTGGCCAAACATCTGGGTTCTCCCATCCAACAACTGCCTGCACTGCCATGCACTGAAAATTCTGTGGAGCTCTGGGGTTTGCCATTGGTCTCAAGTATTACAGCTGCCCCTGAGATGGATGTTCTCAGGAGCCACTTTCTGGAAATAGATTTCCCTCTCAGGTTAGCTTATCTTTTAAAAATTAAGGAACAGATGATTCTTGACCCAAGATCAAACACTGAAGAAGTTCCTCTTTTTGATATCTTAGCCCTGAGGTCTGCATTGGAACTGACTTTGTATTCAGGTCTAAAGTGCAGAGTTGTTTTCTCTGCATTTTTTTCTTAGATCCTTATCAAGGAAGTAAATGAGAGCATCGTCTTCAGGAACAAGTCAGGACAAATACCTTAGGGTTTGAAGCTGGGTACTGGGATTGTGATTCTTGGGCAGATAACACCTCTGTGGTAGGTTTGAGACAGTTGCTGCACCTAATGGGATAAAGATGGTGGACTTTGGAGTATGAGCCTTGGATTTGCTTGGAGGTTTGGTGGATCTAAGTGTCTGTGGTCCTAAGTTAAGTATATTCTCAGGATGTAGATGAAGACCTAATTTCTTGACTAGTAGAGGTGCAAGTTATGAAAAGTCCCATGTCAAACACACAGCCATGATCTAATGCCTGCAGGGATGATGGTGAACTACCTACCATCCTCCCTGGGGAACGTGGTGTTTTGGCAGGGAGTTCTGAGCTTGTAGAAGAGCTCGTCCTCCCTGCAGAGCAGCTGGTTGTTTGATCTCTCCATTTGCCCTGCTCCCCATGGCCAGTTGTCTTTACAGAATGTCAAGCAGAAGCATATGGATGGCATTTATTAATTACATTTTCTCACCAAATTGACTTTTACCACCGAGCAGTTTAAATGTTTTGCTTATGGCAAAGAATTGCAGGCTTTAGTAAGGCCCAGCAGCTGAACAAAGAGCTCTTGTCTAGTTACGGAGAAGTGCTCTTTTGTCTTCTGAATAGATTTGATTGACTATGATTTTTGACAGAAATGTTGTGTTTGAGATTGGCAAGCTTATTCAAGGCCCCATATAAGACTCCACTTGACTGTAAGTCATAAAGATGCCCTCTGTGCTGATGCATTTGAGAGAGGATGCACAAGTTGTAAGCAAGTGATTTGGTCCACATTCAAGTTGTTTTGCACTCTATGTTTTAGCAAGCATGAGAGAATTACTGGAGGGTGTTCTGTGAACAGCTTGTTGTTTGGTTTTCTTTGGTTTGTGCTTACAAGACACTAATAAACTGCTATCTATAATTTTTTCAGCACTAGTAATTTATTCATAGGTTACATGACACTATTCAGTGATTTGGGAACAAGATTTCTCCTGCTCACATTGAAGTATAATTTGCAATCTCTTGAGTAAAGACTGCATTAGTGTTTGACCCTGTAATAATGACAGTTCTCAGTAT